TCTTCAGAGTCATTCATATAAACTCTTATGTTAAGATACTCTTCTGTGAGTAATACAAACAACTCGAGTCATTATTAAAACTCTTATAAATATGAATCAATCAACAACAGCATCAGAAACACTGTGTTTTCAGTGCAATTTAAATAAAACTAGCAATGGTGATGAACACTCGAGTTTTATCAACACCATAAAAATTCATTATCCAAATGCAATGCTAATTGATGATTTTGTGTTCAAAACAAAAGAATTACTAATCCCAAGAGCGTTTTATCCACGTGTGAATACAATGTGTTGTGTTAGTTTATGTCGCGATGAAATAACAAGCCCATTCAAGAATGTTATAGAATCAATCTATGGTTCAGCATTTTCCTGCGGTTCATTAGGCGGAATGTTACTTTGTGGTCGAACAGGTTTCAGCGCTGCTCATAGCCATGTACCAATCGACGATGCCTGTCTAATATATTACTGTTTTACTCATATAGCGATTAACGAGAATGGTCAGATTGGTTCAGTGTTGCGTAATAAAACAGGTATGAAACAAGAGTCGTCAGCATGCGGTGCTTTGGTGGCATTTACCAGAGAATTGAAAAGTGGCATTCGACAACCGATTCATATCGATGAGAACGATGTTGAAATGACCTTTTTAAAAAAGCAATTGTTAAACACGCTACCAACGTTAGCCAAGCAACAAACGACTTTATTAGAAGTAACACATACGGCGTATTTAACGATCACTAGTGATTTAGAAAATCATGTTATAGACGACTCAAAAAATCACGAAAAACGTCAGTATGCGTTGTTTACTGGTGTGCAAATACACGGTCCAAACGGACATGATTACGTTTGGTTAGGAAAATCAAGTTTTGTTAAACATGGAAAATTAGAAAATTTTCCATTTGATAACGTAAATCACAAATGAATCGTGACACGACTCTTGCGCGTACCGATTCTTCAGCGAACAGGACCCTGACTCTTCTGTGAACATTAGATATATATTTTTTTAATTGGTACGTTCAATACTACTAGTTGTTTTGTTAGTTTTCTAAAGTTCAGTTTTCTTAACATGTATTTAAAAAAAAAGTTCGCGAGGAAGAGTCGGGATCCTGTTTGCGGAAGAGTTGGTGAATCCAAATGAATAGTCCATGTCAATGAACCTAAAAATATATTGTGAAGCCTCATTAGATTAAGGTTCACTGGACAAGGAAATATTTTATCATATCGCGAAAATTTTAGTTTAGAGCAATAACTATCAACTACAATCTGTTTCTTTTTGATACTTAACTATTCGGTGGAACGTAAAACTTCTTTAGTACTTTTTCTATTATTAAACAAGAATCTGATACTATTATGTCTATGCATACAGTTTTCCTACGTCAAGATATCGATCTTTAGTAAATTAATTTTCACACTGCTAGTTCGCAAACCTTGTCAAATTTGTATGTGTCAACAGATCATTAGAACTAACAACCTCCTAATCGTCATACCACTGAAAATACAGTGCTTCTAATGCTGTTGTTGATTGATTCATATTTATGAGAGTTTTAATAATGACTCGAGTTACTTGTATTACTTACAGAAGAGTATCTTAACATAAGAGTTTATATGAATGACTCTGAAGG